GGCTTTGCTCCAGACCCTTCAGTGGTACTGGAGCTACTTGTAGATGTCTTCTGTTCTTTTCCAATAGTGTGTTGGATGGACACCTTTCAACCTGAGGGGCTCATCTTCTGGTGTCGTTATCATCTATCATTTTAATATTGCCCGTGGAGTTTTCTTGGCACAGATATTGGAGTGGTTCCCCATTTCCTTCTTTTTTCTTTTTCTGCTTTTTTTGGTGATGCAGTGTGGGTTAAGTGACTTGCCCAGGTCACACAGCCAGTGTCAAGTGTCTGAGGCTGGATTTGAACTCAGGTCTTCCTGACTCCAAGGCCGTAACTCTATCCACTGTGCCACCTAGTTCCACCCCCTCCCCCATTTCCTTCTCCATTGGACCACCTTTTGTCTGAACTTTCCACTATGATCTCTCCATGTTGGGTAACTGTGCACAGCACAGCTTCTAGTTTCATTGAGCCACACAAGCCCCTCTGGTAGAGAGGGGGAAATCATGATGGTTTGTCTTCAAGTACTTGAAGAAAGAGTCTGTTTGTCTGCTAGGCTCCAGAGAAGAGAACTAGAAGAGCTAGCACTAGAAAGGATGATTTTGTTGCCTTCATGTAAAGAAAAGTTTTCTAACAGTTAGCAGTCCAAAAGCTTAGATAATGAATGGACTGCCTTGGGAGGTGATGGGCTCTTTTTGTTAAGTAGAATGTGTGAAAGGGGAGTTGGATAAAATAACGCCTAGAAGGTCATTTGGAAGCAGATTCAGTCGGCAAACATTTATGACGTATTTACTCCGTGCCAGGGTCTTGTGATAAAAAAGTAAAAAATGAGTCATTTCTATTAAGGCTTTCCAACCAAGATCAGGAGTTTAAAATTTATTTTGCAAGTGATGGGGAACCACTGAAAGCTTTTGAGTGGAGAAAGGCGTGTGATTAGAGTTGTTCTTAGAAAGATTACTCAGACTGCCTTTGAAGGATGGATTGAGGAAGAAATAGAACAAATTGTCATCCTAGTCCCCTGACAGTTGGCATTGCAAGGTAATTAAGATGCACCATGTCAATAACTAGTACTGATAGTCCATAATAATGCTAATTTCCATTGGAGTTTCAGTAACTGAGGGTTATAATTAAAGTTACAATCGAAAATAGCATGTTAATAAGGAAGATTTCACAACTGGATTTGATTTGTCCCCTCGGATGTTCACGGTCTGCCTTCTGGATCACCCATGCGTTCCTAACCCTAAGAATACTTCCTAAAGTGACCCCTGGGTTGTTTTTATCTCCCTCCCAAAGAGATGTTAAAGGGTCTGGTCAGAGTAATGGCTGTATTTTGAGTATTCCTAGAAGACTGTCTTCTATGTCAGACCTTGCCCTGTTCTTTCATCTTTGTTAGGATGAACACATTAGAGATAAGTAGCAGGAATCTGTGTGGTCACGTGATGATGCCTCCTATTTACATGATCATTTGTATGCTGCATCGAACCTTGAGAAGTCAGAAATCTGTTGCTTCTGGCTTTATTTCACTAGGACATCATGCCTTTAACCAATCAAAACTAATAAAGCTAACAAGTGAGAGTGACCTCCTGTGGCTTCAGCTGTTTTTTATTTCACAGCTTCCAGAAGGGAAGATTATTACAGAAAACAACATAGCACCCAGGCATTTGTCTACTGGGACTTGAATTCAGAGTGTTGGCTATATGTATCTTCAAATAAAAACCACTTTTAAATGAAAACATGGAGTTTAAATTATATATAAAAGCGGGCATATTGAAGTTCAACACTTTCCCTTCCCCTTCCCAAATGCTACCAACTGCCAGCAGTATTTTATTTTTAAACATCATTTAACTCCTTATAATTCAGGAACTGGATCACACCAATTTTTACGCATATCAGGAAAGAACAAGTCATTTTTTTTTTATATTTTGGGGGGGCGGCAAGGCATTCAGGGTTAAGTGACTTGCCCAGGGTCACACAGCTAATAAGTGTTGTGTCTGAGGCTGGATTTGAATTCAGATCTTCCTGATTCCAGGACCAGTGCTCTATCCACTGTGCCCTGTGCACTATCTGCCCCTAACAAGTCATACATATATACATTTGCTTGTAATTGTAGTCTTGTTAGAGTATTGATCAAAAGTGTTCCAGATCAAGCAAGTTAATTCTGAGGTTTTCCTTTATTGTATTTGTAACTTTTTTTCTAGAGATCTTTCTTTTAGTTACAAAAAATAAAATACAAAATGCACATAGTATTTGCCTTGTTTGACCAATGAAAGAAGGAAGGAAACAAGCCTTTATTAAGTGCTTGCTATGTACCAGGCACTGTGCTAAGCACTTTACAAGTATTATCTCATTTGATCCTCACAGCAACCCCAGTACATAGAGACTATTATTATTCTCATTTTTTTGTGAGGAAACTGAGGCAGACAGAGGCAAAGTGACTTGCCCGGGGTCACACAGCTAGTACGTCTCTGAGGCAAGATTTGAATTCAGGTTTTCTTGACTCCAGGCATGGTGTTCTATCCACTGTACCACCCAGCTGCCTCTAAAAGTCATGTAACATCTCTGGAACCCAGTTTTGCTTCTGTAAAGTGAAGGGTTAATCTAGGAACATTCCAGTTCTAAAAATCTGAGATTGTGGGAGGCAGCTAGGTGGCTCAGTGGATAGAGTGTGGAGCCTGAAGTGAGAAAGAACTGAATTCAAATCTGGCCTTAGACACTTAACTGTAGCTGTGTGACCCTGGGCAAGTCACTTCACCTCTGTTTGCCTGAATCCACGTGTCTTTGCCATGAAAGCTTCATGGTTAGTATTGGTGTGCTGTGGTCCACAGAGACATGACTGAAGAACAATTTTGTTCCACCTTTTGCCTTATTTCAAATAAACTAATTCCACAGGAGATTATTTTACCTCCCAGTGTTTTTTTTTTTCTTCAAACCTAGGACTGGAAGGTGTTGGTAGCAGATCTGGATTTTCAGTGTTTTGCAAATAGTTGGTACCATAAGCGGTTAGGTGATCTCTGGCGCAAAATCTCATTCTCGAGATTTGAGAAAAGTAACCTGGCAGTTCTCTGTGTAGGATGGTTCTAAGTGTGCGAAGACCAGCGATTAGACAAATTAGATAAATTCTTAGTATTTATTGGCTTTTCAGTGCATTCAATATTGACTGTCCTTTAGACATGCCGCCACATGGCAGCAGCTGCCAAAGGCGTTGGCATTTGTTTTTGGTTTGCTTTTGTTTGTTTTTGGTCCTGACCTGTGATTTCTTTGGTGAATGGAGGAAGCTTCCTCTGTCAAGGCAGGTCAGAGTGCTCTGTGTCAGCGATCTTCAGGCTCTCAGAGACTTGTCTTTAGTGGTAATTATTGTTTCAGTTATTTGCATGTAGAATAATATGTTCTGGCTTTTTAACATGGCAATGTTATTTGGCCCTGTGAGTAATGAAAGGCAGGAGAATTTTAAATTGGATTTGTTGCCGAATACTATTTGAGAAATTAGTTGGCAGTATTAGCAGCATCACTCTAGATATATGAAAGTGTGCTAATGTGCTATGTGGTATGAAGGAAAGATCCTAATTAAAACCTTGTTGCTAAACAAGTGACAAAGACCTTACAAACAGCTGGAGGCTTCGGGCCAGTCACAGTTATTCCTGAAGAGCAGATTTGGTCAAGTGAGAAAATACAGAGAATATATGCCTTTATCAGTTTTGCTCAGGACACAAAACAGTGCTGCCGTGCACAGCTGCTGGTCTGGAGTTTGCTACTCATAAAATGGTACAAGAAAAGACAATTTAGAAATGGCGGCACGAAGGCAGGCTCTTGTCAGTTCTCAGTTTAACAAGAATTAGGTTTGGAGAAGAATCAGCTCTTAGTATCAAGCAGGGCATTTGCCATTTTGCTGGACTGGATGTTGATACTTTACATGAAGTAAAAGACATTTTTTAATATGTCCTTATCCACATTTAAGAATAAATACTCTCTCTGCTAGAGTCCATAAAATCAAATGATCTTGATCTTGCGTTCATTCTGCTAGCCCACTGTGTTTTTGGTTATCAAGGTAGAGCAGGCCTCTGTCTGAAAACCTGTGATGGGCACAGATGCAATTGATGCCAACCTGCTTCCTTTCTCCTTGCTTGCACCCCCATCATCTGCCATCCCTACTCTGTGTTCCTGCTTTTCCTCTCTGTGGACATTTACTTCTTCCATTGAGGTTCAGCTCAGGCGCCATCATCTCCCTAACGCCTTCATTCCTGCCCATATCCCCACAAGTGAAAGAGAGCTCCCTCTCCTCCAGTGTCTTGTAGCCCTTTAGATCTGTTCTTGGTTTTATCACATCTTACTTTGTGTTATCATCACACACGCAAAGTATATGAACACACATGTGTACATATACAAAGACTGAGACTGAGGTCCTTTCTCCAGCTGAACTGCCAAGCATTCAGACTCTACTGCAGAGAGCACAGCTGCAATGGGCTGGCCGTGTTGTTCAAATGCCAAATGTACACTTGCCTAAAAGACGATTTTATGAAGAGCTCACACAAGGCAAGCACTCACATGGTGGTCAGAAGAAGTGATGCAAGGACACTCTCAAGGTCTCTCTGAAGAACTTTGGAATTGATTGCGTGACATGAGAGACACTGGCACAGGACTGCCCAGCATGGCGTGCCCTCCTCAAAGAAGGTGCTGTGCTTTGTGAGTGAAGCAGAATTGTAGTAGCTCAAGAGTAATGTGAACTGCACAAATTTAGAGACATCTGCACTCCAGATGTTCACGTAGACTATTGGTACCTGACCTGTGGTAGAACCTTCTGAGCTTATATTAGTCTGATCAGCCAATCTGGTGCACTGTACCTTGACTTCAGCATCGTGATGATATCATTTTGGGCCTCTTCGAGAATGAAGGCCAAGAATCAAACCAAATCAAACCATCTGATCTTCTAGATTTAGCATAGCACCGAATACATACAATATTACCAAAATTAAAGTTATCTTTATGATGAAAACGTTTTAACATTTTCCCCATTTGTCATTTCAGACTTCACCAAATGCTGCAAAGACTCTGGCTTTCTGATGGTGGTAAAATGTCGGAAAGAAAATTCAGCATTAAAAGAATGCCTAATTACACAGTAAGTAGCTGAATCATTGTGTTGTGTTTGTTTTCTTTTTTTTTTTTTTAAGCAATTGGGGTTAAGTGACTTGCCCAGGGTCACGCGGCTAGTAAGTGTCAAGTGTTTGGTGTGAGGCTGGATTTGAACTCAGGTCCTCCTGACTTCGGGGCCGGTGCTCTATCCACTGCACCACCTAGCTGCCCCTGTGTTTGTTTTCATATGTGTGTCAGATAGTTCTGCCTCTAATGTACTCAGAGTGTCCAGGAGACCTCTGTTTACAGGGGCAGATTAGCCAAGCATAGAGTTAAAAAGACAAAAATGAACCAGTCCTGCCCTCAAGGCATGTATATTCCTGTTGGGGAGGGAAACATGTACATAGCCAACTAAATATTGAATCATTCAAAGGAAATATAAAGTGGTTTCCCAGGAGTCAGAGGAAGGCACTAGCAACTAGAGGGATCAGGAAACATCTCTTGTAGGAAGTGACCGTGACCCTCGAGCTAGCCTCGAAGGAGATTCAGGATTCTAAGTTAGAGAAAGACAAGAGAAAGTGTAGTCCAGGAATGGGGAATAGTCTACAAAAAGACATGGAGCTGGAGCTGAAATGTCATATAGAGAGAATGGCAAGGAAACCAGTTTTTCTGTAGTGTCTAATACGTGAAGGGGAGCAAAGACAGGCCAGAACCAGATTGCGAAGGGCTAGACCCAGGGCTTGTATTTTCTCCTAAAGGTAATAGGGAGCCCCTGGAGCCTCTCGAGGAGTTTCATAACATGGTCAGCATCATGATTTAGGAATATCTGCTTGGCACTTACGTGAAGGATAGGTTGGACAGGGAAGAGCTTTGAGGCAGGGCAGTCAATTAGGAGGCTATTGGAAAAGTCAAGGTAAAAGGTGATGAGAGCGCGAAAGCTAGGGTGGTGGTTGTGGGAATGGGGAGAAGGATGTCTGTGTTTGAGATGTTGTAGATGGAAGTAGAATTAATAAGCCTGGGCAGCTGATGGGATATGAGGGGTTAGACAGAAGAATCAAGAATGACTTACCTGTACAAAATTCTAGAATATAATATTTAAGGGACAGTTAATGAACAGATAGAAAAGGAAACAGTGACAACCAAAAGCCATCATGATGTCATCAAGAAGATTCTTGCCAGACCAACCTTATTTCCTATTTTGACAGGATTAATAGACTGAGGTGAATGCTGTAGATAAAATTTAAGTGAATCTTAAGAAAACTTTTGACAATCCCTCATGCCATCTTGTTGGAAAAAAAAATGAAGAAATATGGGTTAGAAGAATAGAATAATAAGAGGCTAAATGATCAGTTCCAAATATTAATAATTAATTAGTGGAGAATTTTAAAGGTTTCTACTAGAGAACCAAGGATCTATTTGTGGGTAAATGATGATGAACATTTTTATTGATGATTTTGACCAAGGCACAGATGATATGCTTACCAGATTTGCAGATGACACAGCTGTGAGAGATGAATAACTTGATGGATAACAGAGAATAATTTTCAAAATTATCCCTATTAAAATTCATCTTGTTAGATATGCTCCCAAAAGATCTCAGTGTGCTAGGACTTCGGGTCAGATTGAATAAGATGAAATGTATTTAGGATAAATGTAAGTTATAACATTTGGGTTTAAAATTAACTTCACAAGTACAGTATGGGAGGGGGAGACCTGCCTATTAAATAATTCATTTGGAAAATTAAAAAAAAAAAAAGAATGACTTAACCTGGTGATAAGAAGGATGAAATTCCCTGAGCAGAAATAGAGAAGTTAGCAAAAGAGGAGGTTTTTTTGGGGAGGGAATATAACGACTTTTGTTTAAAATATGTTGAGTTTGAGGTGATGCAAATGTCCTGTCTTCAGCTGATGGTTTAGACTAGAGCTCAGTAGAAAGACTAAGGGTGAATATTTAGATCTGAAGGTCATTGTTGTACAGATGATATTTGAACCTTTGGGGGCTGACAGAATCAGTGAGAGAGAGCATAGAGAAAAGGACAAAGCTTTTGGGGACATGCATGGTTAGGGGTGGGGCAGGTGGCACCTGAGTGGTGATTTAAGAGGAATAAAGTATATTAAATAGAGAAGAGGGAGGGACTGCAAGCTCACAAGGAGAAGGAACATTGCATCCAGGGCATAGAGGGCCGGTTAGGCTAGCTTGACTGGAGAGCACCCGAAGGACCTGTTCAGGATCACGCAGCCAGTTTGTGGCAGAGGTGGTAAGTAAAGCTCAGGTCTTACTGGTACAAGAACAGCTCTCTGTCCACTACTCCACACTGCCTCTCTCCTCCAAGATTGTAGGAATATTCATGTGGCAGCTGAATAGAAGATGGGTTAGGACTGGAAGGGACTAGAAGCAGAGTCCATTGCAGTCATCCAGATGAGAGATAATAAAGGCCTAAATTAAGAGAACATGATGTGAAGTACGTGAGGGGTGTTGTGGACTTTGAATCAGTAAGACTTGGCAGTATAATGTGGGAGGAGAGGGGAGTGACAAGGGTCCGGAATGACACTTGAGGTTGGGAACTTGATTAACTCGAAGACTAATGGTGCCTTTTAACAGAAATCAGGAAGTCTGCAGGAAGAGTAGGTGTGAGACAATGAGGATGTGTTTGTATTTGCACACGTTAAGCTTGAGGGGCTGTTGGGACATCAGGGTCGAGAGGCATCCAGTGGCCGGGAACGAGAGCTGATGTGTAAGGGAAAAAGTGCAGAGAGAACAGAAGACATTACAGGCCGGGGCCCTGGAGGCCCCCAGACTCAGGGGAGTAAGACCAATAGTCCGAGCCGTAAAAGGAGAAGAGGAGTGTTATCCTGGAACGTGAAGGAAGATAGGGTGATTGAGCTGCAGAGCTCATGTAGGACGAAGCCTGAGGTTACTTGATTTATCAGCTGAGGCAGGAGGGGGGAACCTGTGGTCTCGAGGCCACATGTGGCTCTCTAGGTCCTCAAGTGCGGCCCTTTGACTGAGTCCAGACTTCACAGAATAAATCCCTTTAATAAAAGGATTTGTTCTGTGAAACTGCTGGGACTCAGTCAAAGGGTCGCACTTGAGCACCTAGAGGACCGCATGTGACCAGCCTTAAGATCGCAGGTTCCCTAGCCCTGCTAAGACATCATTAGGGGACTCACTATTTGACAGAATTTGGCAGAAATAGGTAAAGACCAACATCCCACACCACAAAACAGATAAGTTACAAAGGGATATATAAAAGGGATACGTACAAAGTAACATCATAAAAAAATTGGAGGAGCAAGGAAGAAATTTTTTTTCAGATGTACAGATAGGAGAAGAAAGCAGGACCAAATGAGGGACAGAGAGGAGCACAGAAGATAGGGACAATTTCAGTTACATTAAATTAAAAAGTTTTGCAGAAAGTTTCTCTGATGATGGTCTTATGTACATGTTTGTAAGGAACAGATCCAAATTTATAAGAATAAGAGCCATTACCCAATAGATAAACGGCCAAAGCATGTGAACAGGCAGTTTTCTAGGGAAGAAATCCAAGCTATTGATAAACACACGAAAATGGTCCAAATCATTAATTAGAGAAATGATACATCAAAACTACTCTAAGATTCCATCTAATATCCATCTGATTGGCCAACATGACAAAAAAAAAAAGAATGGCAAATCTTAAAGGTGCTATAGGGAAACAGACATACCAATATACTGTTGGTAGAGCTGGGTATTGATACAGCTCTTCTGGAAAACAGTTTGGAACTATGGTGAAAAGTCACCAAACTCTGCATACTCTGACTCAGCAGCGCTACTACTGTGCTTTTATGCAACCCAAAGAGATCAAAGAAATAGGAAAAGGAGCCATGTGTACAAAGAATATTTTTGGTAGACTTTTTGTAAGGAATACAAGAAGGCTAAGAACAGAAACTAAGGGAATGCCTACTTATTGAGGAATACCTGAACAGATTTTGGTATATGAATGTAATACAATATTTTTGTACTGTTGGAAATGACGAAACTTGAGAAGACCTGTATGAACTGAAGCAGAGTAATGAGAGCAGAAACAAGAGAACAGTTTATAAAATAACACCAGTATGGGGTGGGTGGGAGGGCAAAGGGAGCTGGAGTAACAAAAAAGAAAAAAGAAAAGAGAGTCATTATCTTTTCTGAACTTAATATATGATTAAAAAGAAAAAAAATTCAATTTTGTGTGGGCTTTTTTTTCTTTTCTTTTAAAAATAGCCATTTTATTTGTCTGAGATAAACCAGGTGCTTTACTACTACTGCTATTGCTGCTGCTGTTGCTTCTACTGCTACTACTGATGATGATGATGATGATGAAGAAAACTTACTGTGCTTCATTTTTAAGGTTTTCATACTAATTTCTTTTCCTTTTTATAGCTACAAAAACCCAGATTTTTATGAAGAATGCAAAATGGAATATTTGAAGGAAAGAGAAGAATTTAGAAAAACTGGAATTCGTTCTAAGAGCAGGTTGCAGAAGCTTCCTACCAACATTTAGCAAAATAGTTAATTATGAAGAATTTTTACCCTAATTTCAATGGCAAGAGCATGAGGTACAAGAAGCCAGTGTCTTTGGTTTTGCCCCTTAATATCATGGAAATATTGTTGTTGTTTGAAAAAAATATCTTTTATTAAATTTCTCTAACCTTTGGAGTTCTGATTCATTGGCTAGAAAATGATTGAATCATGGAAGGAATGTTTTTATGAATAAGATGGATGAACTCTATGGACCTCTAAGATCTGCTGATCGTTACCTTCACTTGTCCAGGGTTTCACACTGCTTCCCCTCTGTTGTACTGTGTTCTTAAACACCTTTTATTCTTGAATTTTTTCATAAATGAATGAATGTGTTTGTTTCATCCCACAACTTGATAATAAAATTTGAAGGCTTTTTCCCTTGGCATACGCTTCACCCCAGTGTCTGTTACATAGTGTGGTGTACCATAGTAGGTTTCCATAAGTATTTAATCAGTGTAAGTACTGTTAATTTAGGGGAGTGACAAGAATAAAACGCCAGCATCAGTCACCTTTCACACTTGTTAGCTGAAAGGGTAGATACAGATGTTATGAACTTCAGCCACAATCTCTAATGGGGGGGTGGGGGGGGCGGGTTGTTCTCAGTCATTGGTCTCAGGTTCTGTCCAAGGGGTGTTTGCATCCAACTTTCTTTTTGTTTTCACTGAATACGCATCCCTTTGGTTGGCCAACTGCTCCTTGGTTAGAGTGAGGAGTGAAAATCACTTTATATGACAAGAAGATAATGATCAGAAAGAAGGGAAAGAGAATATAGTTGTATACAATGGAAATTCATGTTTATTGTAATGGAAATTCATAGTTTATTTAAATACATTAAGTTATCTTTCTTTTCATGGTAGTAACTGAATTTGTAATACAGATCTTTTGGAGGAAGTGTGATATAATGTAAAGTAAGTTTAAATAGATTTTTAATTTGAATTAGCTCCTTGGGGCAGAGGGCTGTGCCTTACATGTTTTACCCTGTAATGCTTCATAGTAAATACTCAAATCCTTGATCTCTGGTCAATTTGGAAAGATTTTCTTGTTTTAAAAAGTCTTTCTTTGTTCATATTTTGCTGTTCTGTGGCTATAACTAATTACCCTTTAGAAAACTTACATACTCTTTTCCCTCTTTTATTCACTTTTTTTCAGCCTAGATAGCTTTGTGGTAATTTCAAAAGGAAAAATCTTTAAAGCTCATTTATGAACTAAAATGACTATTACTATTTTAACAAATTTTTAAGATACTCTATTGCAAGTGCCTTTAAGCAAATTATGTGAAATTTTAAACTTTTAAAAATGATACAGTAAAGAACTAATTTGTCTTAATTTACTTGAAACCTAAAAATTAATTTCTCAGACTGGCAAATATCTTTCAGTTTACTAATTTAGTTCAAACTAAAATAACTGAGGAGGGAAGAAAAGTTGTCAAAGCAATAAGTGTGGGGTTAGGTGACTTCCAGATATGGCAGAAATTTCTTTGGATCAAAATGGAAAAATGGGTTGATAGATGAAGGGGTCAGCAACTAGTAAGCCAATCAACCAGATCATCTTTTCCTTTCCTTGTGGCTAAGACTCAGTTTTACTTATTGCAACTTCATCATCTTGGCTCATGACATTCCTCTCCACCTCATCTCCTGACAGCATCCAGATTTCACCTTGATCACCCATCTTCCACTCAAACCTCCTTAGCCCCAGTGGCATCCATTACTGCCCCATGACTGCCATGCAGTAGAGTTGTTATACCTCAGACCTCACCATCCCCAAACTTCCAGCTGCTGAATGTGGATGAAATCACTTTTATGACCACTGTCCTTCCATCTGTCTCAATCCCTTTCCCCCAGACTTGCTCCTCACCCTCACCCGTTCTTACCTTAGGATGTTTAGAGTTAGGACTCTTCATTTTGTAGATGGGAAAACAGAAATCTGCAGAGGTTATGTTATTTGCTCAGTCACGTGGGTGGTGCCAGGAAGCTGAGCTAAGGTCTTAGGATCTGAATCCACTGCTCTTTACTACAGAGAATACCTTCGGTCTTTCTCCCCACTTCTGGGTTCATTCGTTTCCACTCCCAGGCTGGGCTACCTGGCCTGCTCTTCTAATGATTCACTTGCTTCTCTGACCCTCTAATCCTCCGTCCTTGGTTGCTCCTAATTAGCTAGGCCACAAGCATTTATTAATCACTTACTGTTTGCCAGGCTGGTGCTGAGCATTTTGGAATACAGAGAAAGGCAAGGCAAACCTCTGAGATTACTGAGAGTCAGGGAATTCCTGAAATATTTCTCCCCTTACTAAATAACAGGGTGTACAACCTTAGCAAGGTCCTCCTTGGTAATTCTAGTCTACATTTAAAACCAGACTCCTTTCAGAGATTGAGGCTGTCCTTCATTTCCTTTGACTAAAAGTTTCTTGATGTCTTTCTCTAGGTGGTGCGTAAGACAGAGGGCTAGATTTGGAGTCAAGAAGACCTGAGTTCAAATCTAGATTCAGTCATTTACTAGTTTTATGGTCACTCTCCATCAACCTTGATTTTCTCGTCTGTAAAATGGGGATAATAATAGCATCTACCTCCTAGGGTTGTTGTATCAAATGAGACAACACATGTAAGGCATTTTGCAAACCTTAAAGTGCTATTTAAATGCTGTTGTGATAGCTGTAGTGGGATTAATGGTAATTCCTCAGGTGTCCCTGATCCGTCCCCTTCCACTTTCAGGACTTGTTCCATCAATCATTTCTCCTTACTGTCACCTCAACGTGCTCCATCCTCACTACAAATATGCTGAGCTCTCCTAGATTCTACAGTAGTTTCTCAGCCCTGTCAACCAATGAACCCATCTCTGTCTGCACTTGTATTGCTAAACCTTATTTTATAATCTACCCAAGCCCCCACTTTACCACCCTCATCTCCCCTTAGCCCTTGCGTCTGTCGTTTCCTCTGTTCTGTGGAAACCACACCTTCAAATCCAAAGGCCATTTCCCAGTCATCCTCTTTGGTTCCACCTAGGTAGCATCTGATAATTTTGACCACCCCTTCTTCTGGATTCTTCCTCTTCTCTTGGTATTGGAGAAAATAATTCATGTAAAATGACACTTTGAAGTTTACCAATAATTTAAAAATATTTGTTGACTTGTATCCTCACAACCATCTGTGAGGTAGGCAGTACTAGTATGATCTTCCCCTGTTCCATCTCCTTACAACAGTGAGAGCCTGGTCCAGGGGCTCTGGACACAATGCTGTGACAATTGAATCGCATCCCTTTGGACAGTCTTGCTATAATCGAGGCCACAAAAGGAGAGGGAGTTGCAAAGGAATGGCACAGAGTTTCTACTTGGAGAGGCCAACACAACAGAAATATTAGAATAAAGTCAAAAGATTAAAAAAAGGTAAGATACAGGTGGGGTCAAGGGAGGCTAATGCTTACGAGGGGGGAGTCTAAAGGAAAAGAATTTCATGATCTTGAATAGGTGATTAAAGGGGGAAAAAAGGAAATAACTGGAAACTAAGAGGGTGCTCATCAACTGGGGAGCAATTGTACAAATTGTGGTCTATAAATCAACTAGAAAACCATTGTGTCAGAAAGACTGCTAAGAACTGAGAGAAGACAATTTCAGACATTCCTAGGAAGTAGAAACTGACGCAGTGAAGTGAGTGTAAGTGGGAGAACAGGTTTTACCAGTGCAGCAGCAGTGTTAAGGGAAGGCAGTGCTGAAAGACTGAAGAACTAGCCTCCCGGCAGTGACCATCCACACTTCCTGTGACCGACCTCTAAGGAAGCCTGTTGTCCACATTCTGACGATGCTGAGGGCCAGAAGGAGACTTGGCCACCATGGGGATCTGTTGTGCTGGAATAGTCTTCCTGTTAGAAGGGTTTGTATTCTTTGTTAATATTTTGTTGGGGGAGGAGGCTGAGGAGTAGTGATGGTGATGTTGGAAAAAGAAAAGAGGAAGGCCTTTGAAACAGTATTTAAAGTACCCAAAGAACAGAAGGCAGGTGAGAAGGATGCATAGAAAAGCAGGAGAATTTTGAAAATGATGTGCTGAATTCATTATACGTATACGTGTGTGTGTGTGTGTGTGTGTGTGTGTGTGTATATACATATATATATAAATAAATGTCTTTGATTTTTAATTTAACATCTTACCATAAAGACGTTAAATTAAAAACAAAAGAAATAATGCAGGCCAAAGACCTGCAGACTATACAGAAGCCTTGTGCCTTTATTTTATAAATATTTTCATTAAGAAAGGTCAAGAAGCATTGTACATGATGAGCAATAAATAACATCACAAGAATGCAACATGTTTTATTTTAATAGACAGGAAATAACTGGTTACTGACATGGCAATCACTTCTGAAACAGCTGGGTAGTCAGACCACTCACTGATTTGTTAGAGCAAAGATAAAAATAATATCAAGCAAGAATAAAGAATAATAATGAGAAAAGACACCATGCAATTGAAGCAACTCCAGCCTGACCTACTTCAATAAGCTGGTGATACCAAAACACAGGAAATAGATTAAAGTAGTGGCATTGACAGGAACTATCACCATTTCCTAAGGAAGCTCAACCAATGTAAATCAGTTATCACAGCAAAGAGAACAAAAGAATCTAGAGATTGCTTCTGCCACAAAGCACTTACTCTCCTGCCATGTGGCAAGTGATGACAGCCCAGGGTAGCAAGAGTTTAGGATAGAAATGCATTTATAAATCTTGCAGAGGAAAATGGTGGAAGATTGAGTAGTATTCTCTCTTAAAACAGTGCAAGGGAAAACAGCCTAAAGAAAGGTCTTTACAAGAAGTGAGCCAAGTCATCAGATGAGAATGGCAAAGATCTGTAAAGGTTGGTTTGCATCACAAACTCTTTTTCACTGTGAAGCACAATGGAGGCACCCCGTTTGTGTTCTAACCTCCCAGAACCAGATGGGCTCTCTGGAGAAATGCAAGATGTCTACTGAAGGACATAAAGATGGGAAGTGTAACCAGATTTGGACCAAGGATATACAAAAAAGGTATACGCTGAGGATGACACAAATTTGAGGGCACTGAGGAACAACGAAAGGTGGTTTCCCAATGTTTGGAAAAATTTTCAGACTATATTACTAAAAACAATAAAAAGTGATCAAGAGAATATAAATCTCTACTGACCTCTGTACCTCTTTTCCCATTTCTGCAAAATTTCTGAGAAAAATAATTCTTGCTTCAAGAGCATCCTTGGTGAAGGTTTTAGAAGGAAAAAGGCAGCCTTTCACAAATTGACACTCTAAGATATCACATCTTCATAGTCGTACAGTGGACCAAAAAGTGTGGCAAATAGAGGATTCCACTACACTTAACTTTTCATTGACTACTTGCGTTACTGCATCAAGCCCCAGGACACTGCAGAACCTCTATTCACTCCAGTTTGGCCTGTCCACACATGAAAAACCAAGTGATGAAGGATGCCTGTTGTCCAGATATGAAGTTGGATGACCAACACCTACAGCTGATCCAATATTAGAAAGCACAGAAGTAGCTAGGTGGTACAGTGGATAGAGCTCCAGCCTTGGAGGCAGGAGGACCTGAGTTCAAATCTGACCTCAGACACTTGACACTTACTAGCTGTGTGACCCTGGGCAAGTCACTTAACCCCGATTGCCTCGCCAAAAAAAAAAAGCTCAGAATTTGGACAGTTACTACAAATGGGCAATGAGCAGGACCGAGAGTGGTACAAGAAGGGGATAAGCTAGCTTGGCTTTCATAATCTGTCCAGGGCTTTCCATGGCCCCAAGTTTCTATCTGAAACAGATTTTTTTAAAGGAGGTGGCAGCGTGGCGGACTATAAGAAAACACCAACTTAGAGGTTCGAATCCTGCCTCAGATACTTCCTAGTCGTGTGACCCTGAGCAAGTCATTTAACGTCAGCCTCAGTTTTCTCATCTGGAAAGCAGGGATGATCCCTGTCGCATTTTCCTTATAGGGTGATGGTAAGGATCGGTTGATATCAGCATTGACAGGTGGCAGAGCAGTTAGCTCTGAGGATGACCAGAGCTCCTTTCTCCCTCAGATGTCAGACTCAGGGGACCCTAGGCTCCTCTGCCCTGTTTCCTTGTCTGGAAAATGAAGATAATACCACCTTCTTCACAGGGTTGTTGTGAGGGTCAAATCAGCTAATATGTCAAGTGCTTTGTAAAATCTACTTATGTGTTCCCAGGAGTAAATAAGATTCCCTGGTGGGATTCAGGCGGTTGGAGAAACAGTCGAGTGTGAAACAATGTGCAGTAGCAGAAAATCCAAAGCACTTAGCTAGTGCCAGGAGACCTGGGTTTGAATCCTGACCCTGAACTATCACTGGCTCTGTGACTCGGCAAATCACTCGGTCTCTTTGGGCTGCATTTCCTCATCTCTATCTTACTAATATGATGAGCATCGGTGGTATCAAACTCAAACAAGGGTCCCTAAACCATACATAAGGATCCCTGTGGGCTGCCTGCTGACTTAGAAAACCACATGTGAATATTATCCGTTTTATTTATTTCGTGAACTATTTCCCAATTGCATTACTCTGGTTCAGAGGCCTGAGGCATATTTGACACCTCTGATGTAGATCACGATGATAGTGGGTGATTCTTGAAAACGTCCTCCTAGAAATCTCCTTAGGGTGATGGTCATCTAACATACCTGCCAGAAACCTCCAGCAAAGTGTCCTGGCATTGCACAGATGCCACCAGAACCATCAGCTGTTCCTTGCTCACCAGGACAAGCCCAATGAAGAATGTTGGTTATATGACTCTTATGACATTCTTTAGGCAGCTTGAACACAGTTCTTTGTTGGTAGTGTACTGACTGCAGCCTACTAATGCCCTCCGCAGCGTTTCCATAGCCCTTTGAGTAGCTGTCAGTGTTCCTTCTTTGAAGATTATGTACTTTCTAGGACTTGCTAGAAGAGGTGCTTAATAAATGTTCTCCCATCACCGACACATTAAGCATCTACACCTGCAAAGGGCAGCGCTGCCCAAATTCAGCCTTAATACATGAAACTTTCCCTGATGGATTCCCTCCAATCCCACCTCTACCCCTCAGTATTGAGTGGTTTCCACTTTGAACACCACATGGCATTTGTCTTAAAAGTCTATGACTCTGTAGGAGTCCTATTCTATTAATATTATCTCTGCCATTAGGAAACTTGAATCTAAGTTTTGTATCTCTCCAAGAACTCCTAACAGTATTCTGAGTGCTTAATAATAGAGAAGCAAGATCTAGGTCTTCTCATGCCAAGTCCAGTGCTCTTTCCATTAGGCTGTAGTGGAAATTAGTGGGAAAAAAGGACTTTCCTTAAAGAAGCTTACTATGAATATCACTGGAACATCTTTTCATACCTCTACTGCAATCTTGATTTGACATTTAGAATAAAGAAATCTCATTTTGCAGACAGGGACCATTAACTAGACTTATGTACTTGGGGGAGTCACTTAAAAAATTGCTTTTTAGACATAACCTGAAGACATCATTAACTACAGAGCATTTTATATTGTTTGATAATTGAACATTGAATGCTGTTGTACCCTTCAAGATTGCCAGCTTCTGGAGTATAGAGAGATTGTATCTCACTCATCTTTTAATTCCTCTCATTAATTAGCAGTGATTTCAAAGTTAAAAAAGCCAATTTTCCCAGTGCCAGGGGATACTGGTATAAAAAGCCAACATGGGAAATGAGTGATTGTGCTTCAAAAACAACCTTATCAAACACACCAAATAGGGCAGGAGGAAGGGAGGCATGGAGGGGCATGTCACAGTAAATGGAACACAAAGTATTTCGTATCCAGTCATATTCAAATAAAAATAATTTATTTAAATCAAACAGTATGATTTCATCTTTGTATAGTTCAGAATGTTATCCAAGCCAGTGTCTCGTCCAATTTACCGCTTTTAAAAAGAAAAAAAAAGACTCAATTTTAGTTAAGGAAAAGCAACACCAGTAAAGCTTAGATTAGAGATCAGACATAATATACGGTCTATGCAGCCACATGAGAAATAGTTTCTGCCACTTTGTTATTACACAGGTAGTTGGTTCTATCAGCTAAAGCCTAGTGACTTGTATTTGTTTTATGCATATTGGGTTTGTTCTATTACTTTGCCAGAGATTGTGCTCCCTTGAGTCAGCTGTGTTCATTGGTCAGAATAAATTCCAGCATCTGACACCATTTCCATTAATCACAGACAAGCCAGTATACGTGAGTAAGATAATAGAAAGATACAAACAATATCTGGTCTTGTTTATGTACGCCGTTCAGTAATACAGCAGGAGGCTTGAGGAATTCTTTTGAGCTTAAATAACACCAAACTGCCTAATACTGAAAAGGGAAAAAAAGGCCTTCTACATGAAACACTCAAGATCCCAAGGCAAAAAGGTCTCTACACCAGGAAATGTCTGGATGGCATCAGTTACAAGTTAACAGATACACAATCGTTACCATAAAGCTCCCTGGAAGGCCAGCTGTTTCTTCCATACTTTGTAAACAGTTCAGTTCAGTTTGCACTTGCAAAACTCTGGCAATCCCACAAAAATTCCTTAGCAATTAATGATCCTTCACTAAATTTGAAATTTTCTCCATGAGGTTAATGTATTGCCATTTAAAAATTAAACTGCTTTACTAAAGAAAAGGCAGCTAGAGTGGTCACTTGGGCAAAATTTATTCCTTTTACCAGTTACACATCTGAATACTCACATGTACCTTTAACATACTGATATGTCTAAAATAGTAAAACATTTTCTACCTGACATCTACCACCCAATTAGTAAATGTGCAGTTTTCCCACAAAAAAGTTTTCCAATTATTTTCTTTTTTTTTTTTAACTTAAAAAAGAATCTTACTTTTAAATTGAATGCTCCAGGGAGCTGTTGAACGTGGCCAGTTCCAATGACTGAGTGGTCTGGATTGTAAACAGAATTAAAATCACACAAAAGTAATGGTGACCATTCTAGTACTTTGGTAACAAACACCACTGGGCCTAGAAAGCAATTTTAATTCTGAAAATTTGAACTGAAATGGTTTACAGAAATGGACTATTCATAGAATAATTATTCCATCCCAATAGTTCCACAATCTATATGTGTTCATAAAAAGACCAATGGGAACTGAAATATGTTTTACTAGTTGCTTGCTCCCCTAGGTAAGATTTGTTTGTTGGTTTGTTTTTTGTAATTTACGTGATTTGCGCCAAAACTCCATCAACCTTTCTATTATTCTTGGGAGTGAATATATTTATGATTTAGACATCTTACAAAACCTGTGTCAATAGTTTTCAGAACTCAAGCTCAAAAACTAGTTCCTATCATTTTTCTTTGCCCGAGATGCCTAAATCTACAGCAACTGTTAACAAAGGTAGAGTTGTCTTTTAAAAACACTAAGAGAATTCCTGTCATTTATGAAGTAGTGCATGTGTCTATACTTGGCTAAAATAGAGTTGGTTAGCACAGTTGTTTTAGTCTATGCTGAAAGAAACAAACCTAACCACATGACTGTAGAGCAGTGTGTACTTGAAATCAAGGACAGTCACAGAACACATGCCACAATGGAGCCAGTTCCTCATGTGTGTTTCTCGCGCATCGGCCCGATGCCAGACAGCTCTTCCCAAGGGGACCACAAGTCTCTTCTGGATCAGTTCTTGTAAAGGCAGTTTGGATTATGCCGATCCAGGTGATGTAGGTTGGGGGAAGGCGTTTTACTTTTATTTTCCCCAAATGCTGTCTCACTAGATTTTGGGGGGCTTGGGAATACCCATGAATTGTCTTCTAAAGAATTTCTGCCATAGGAATTTTGTTCTTGAAAGTTTGTACGACCACCAGGGATGACTCTCTCATTATCTGCCCATGACTGGAGACTTGCTCTCTCCAGTAAAATCTTTGTCTCTCCGGACAGAGGAGAACCCATGGCACTACTGAGGGCTTTGCCATTTGGTGAAAGAGGAGCATGTCTTTTGTAGGTTGCAGTTAAAGACGTCAAATGTAATTTTGTGCAGTCCTTCACTAGGTCTTCAACACACTGGACTGGCGCACAAGCTGCAAAGGGAAGACAAGTTAGTCACTAGATTAATGGGAGGGGCTAGTATGAATTTCAGAATTTTTTTTAATGAAGTCATTACTTTCAAGTATGAAATACTGAAGACAGTATGGTTTTGGCTCAAGAACCCTGGGATCATCCTAGTACCCCTTGTAGACAAAGCAGAGAACCTGGACACTAGCAGCCTTCCTTCCTGAAGGGCTCTTCTGAGATCTATAGAAATAGATCTCAGAGAGTTCCTTCCTTTACAAGGTCCTACGAAACTGGATGACAGTACGTTTTACAAAACTTCATTCTAATAAAAACCCCTGGCACCAGAGCAATATTTGTTTCACTCATTAGCATATTCCCTTTTCATGTGTCCGTGGGTACTGAGGTTCTCTTTAAGTTAAATGTTTTCTGGGGAATTTGGTTCATACTGTTCGTTTGTTAGCAAACTTGTCCTTAAGTAGAATGAATGACCGCAAATGTTGGGTCTGTGTCAACTGAGTTTTTTTACTTTGAGAGGAATTATCTGAGAATCCTCATGCTTCTTACAAAGAATTTTAAAATTGTAACCACTGTATATGTGTACATTCAGTAATTGCAGAAGAAGCCTACATTTCAAAACAAAACAAAACAAACCCTCAATCCAAAACAAATACAATAAAACCTAACTAATTTTAGGGTATAGGAATGTTCTGTACAAAGGAGTGTAATCTCTAAGAATATTTTTAAAAGAAATATTTATTATAATAAAATACCTGAGAGTCAACAGATATAATAAAACCACTAAATAAAAAGGAAAATCTGTGGAGAAATTTACAAATAAGTGCTTGTATAAAATTCCTAGATAACTCATCTCTGATTTTAGTAAGTAAAAAATTCAAGTGCATGTTCAAATTGTTATATAAATTTAGAATTGGTGAAATATAGATTTCAGTTTTCCCAATCCTGGGATCTCCTCAGCTACCCAGCATAAGGAAGTACTGTTGTATAAAAAAAAATTTTAAGCAGAGAGACCTCTTTTGCTTTTGGCCTTAGTGTGTACTATACGTTATCTTCCTATAATTGGTACGATTTTGTTTCAACATTTCAAAATAAAATCACCCTGTGATTTTCTTTATGTAATTCTTTCCTCCGCCAACACTAATCATAACCCACCTGTAATTTAAAGTACTTTAAAAAGTTACCATGGCTGAAAAGTACCTCATTCCAGAGCCGCATCATTCACGAGCCTTTCTGCCCTCACTGAGCCAATAAATGAAATCTCTCTGCCTTGGCAGGGTCTGCTGGGGCTCATGTTCAGCTGGTGAGCTTTTCGGAGCTCAGGCCTACCTCTGCACCACAATGAGGAATCTGAACAGGACTTTGGTGAAGGTATGTTTCCCACTTATAAAAATAAATGGTCACTCAGTTTGGTGTACTTGAAGGTTCAGGTGTACATAAGCCAGTAACAATTATCTAGATTTCTACATATCTTCATTCTAAAAAGCAATTAAGGCTCCCATAAAAGCTCTCACAACATAATAAATTCAGTCCTTATTGGGCATCTCAGCTCTAGCACAACCAACAGAAGACGTAACTGGTTATAATCTACATTTTAAAAGGAAAAGAGCATAGCAGTGTGAGAGGACTAATTCAGGAAGGCTCTGACACACCTCTTGCACATATAGTTCAAAAACTCCTCAACTTTGGGCATCCTTATGTTGAGATGTAAGGAAAGTCAAGGGAGTTTTTCAGCAGTTCCAATTTTAGATGGAAATGTGAAGCAGGGAAATCTGAGATTCTGAACTGGGCCTAGATCTCTTCATGAATATCAACAATTTAACCAACAGACATAATGGGCCACTTGTTTGCACACACCCAAATAACAGACCAAAATTCTGCTGGTAAGTAATAGTTATCTTTTTTTAAAAATCAAAAGTCAAGTATATGCATAGTATGCAGCCAGTGTTCTAGAAACAGCACAGTGGAATCTCCCCATTTAGTTCCAAATGGGGCAGAGGTAGTATAAACTTTCCTGCACCAAACTATAGGGTAGATATTAGAGTAGAAGATAAAATTATTTGTAGCTCAAAAAGAATGTCATACATAGCAAAAGCTCTATGTGATGCAATTTGGAAAGAAGCAAGAAGAACTGCATTATAAATCATGTCAATTATGCAGGACGGGTGGAGAAGACGGGGTTGGAAGCAGCCCTCTTCAACATCAAGTTCAACATGGCAGCAAGGCAAAGACCTATGCAAGTCTTACCTCTGCTTCTGCTCCTAGCAGCATGTTCAGTGGATGGGAATACTTCCCTTGAGCCTGCATTCACACTTGAGAAAATCAGCCTTGGAAAATACATGGCCTTAAGCACCAGAAATGATATTGCTTATGAGAAGTCACAGGGTAATCCAGTGGCAATTCTGAAGGAAACACCTTCTCCCTGCCCCTCAAAAGCTGGAAAAGCCTGTCTACTGATCTAAATAGTAACAGACAGAGAGAAATAGTCTCCAGGTTTCCATTAAACACAGTTCAACCCAAGAAAAGAGCCAAATGCGCTTTTCTAATCGGACTACTATTACTAATTTTTCTTATAGGAATTAGACTTCCTCACTCATTTCCCACTTAAAGAATTAGACCAACTATTCTAAAGCCCAGGCAAGATCCAAGCAAACAATGAATTGTAACTTGCTTGTTTACTAAAATGTCTTAACTAGCTAATGAATGAGCTGATTATCACAACCTCTGTAAGATAATGAGGATAATAAATGATTCCATAATACTTTAGGGATTAAAAGTTTTCATAACAAGTGTGTGAGGCAGGAAATGTGAGGCAGAAAATGTAAGTCTTACTATCTCCATTTTACAGATGAGGAAACTGAGTCTTAAGGATATTAAATAATTTGTCCTGGTCATGCAGCTATTGAATGTCACAGCCAAATCTGACACAGTGCCAGTTCAGGATAAGAGGGATTTTATTCTTTTTCAAATGCTTGTCTTTTCCTCACTTTGACTTAATAAAATTGTATTCACATGTTATTCCATAAAACTATTATAAAGAGAATTGTGCTAAAAATGTAGTTTAGCTGTATTTTAAGAAAAATAGGACGTGCAAAACTCTCAATTTATAATTTAGAATAGTTAGGAGGTGACCTTATAAAAAGATTCTTCTCTTTACAAAATAATCCAACTTGGGATTTTTCAAAAAATACATTTTACTACATTTAAAGGAATGAGATTTATAGCTGTTAAGGAATATCTTTATGATTAGAAAGGAAAAAAAAAACCTCGTCAATAAACTTGGACTCTGTTACCAATCGGATGATACAAAGTTCTAAAATGTGGGTCACCAAGTAGTATATTAGAGATAAAATAAAAAGTTAGAGCAATTTTTGTATCAGGAGAAGGTAAGTAGAAGTATACCAATTTTAACGTATTGATATTTTGTCTTGTAGCTATGTGCAAAGACACTTTAGAAATTCTTGTGTTTGGCAAAGTAAACAGAAAAAAAGGCCAAAAAATGTTTTATTTTCAAAAATATACGAAAACTGTGAAGACTGTGTTACTTGGCATATTATATGCCCACCATGGACTTCAGAAAACACGTCCAGGCGCCTTCTTTTGTTCTTATGTGAAGAAGTTGTGGTAAAAGGTCAAACAGAGTCAACCTAACACCTCAGCCTTATACACATAAGCAACACTCGGCAGAGAAAAAAGCCACAAGGGGAACAGAATACAGGCCCAAAGAAAAAACACATCAGCGACACCTTTAGATGTGAAGGTGACCACTACGAGTCTACTATAGCCAAGCAGAGAATAAGTAGCCTGAAACATGTTATTCTCTGGTTTATCATCTTCAAATCATAAGATTTTGAAAAGATAGGTTAGCGAGCTGCTCTTCAAACAGAATGGCTAAAATTAGGTTTCTGGTGATGACTTGCCTTTCTTGATTGTAGATGGAGCTTTAAACTTTCTTAGTAGTTCAGCTTGCACTTGAGTCACAAGATGTAAATTAGACATTTCTCTCTTGAGCTCCCAGTAGGCATATTGCATGTTATCACTGAAATAGAAAAAAACACAATGGTCACTGTTCCTTTTAAGATCATTTTCCAGGTAGTCCTTCAGACTTAAACATATAAATCTAAAAGCAGATCTGAACATAATCACCTTCCTGTCAAAATTCACATCTAAATATAAACTAATTTAACAAAACCATGATTAAATAAAAATTAAAAGAAACCTGTATTATGGAATGAAGAGAGTAAAAAGTCATATATGCATCATAACTGAAATTTTTTCTTAGGACTTTAAGTGACTCATTTATATGTCATTAAAAAGGAAACAAATTATTCTAATTTGTGTTAACAAACAAAAATGTAAATGCAAAAAATATACTGTTCACTTTCAAAAGAATTTAGTGAATTATTACAGTAGCACCTATTAAGTTATGACTGAAGTTAAGTCAAAAGTAAACCAACATTCAGAATTTGATATTTTACTCTTATAATCTTGAAACTATGACTCCAAATTAGACATATCTGATGCCTGGACTCATTTATAATCTACCCAAGCCAAAGTAAAATATATTTACACTTGAGGTATTAAAATTGTTTCATGTCTGACTAAAAACCTCATCTTGATGACTATGATAGTCCTGGAGAGAAGACCCGGTTTCTCTTAGACCTGAGGCCAAAGAATGGCACGGTTCACCCAAGTGCTTTAGGATGAGCACAGCAGTCTGGAGAGGTTCTCGTCAGTGTGCTTCAGAACATCACAGGGAACTAGGTAATGCAGGCCTTATCATCCCCATTTCAAAAATAAGGAAATGGAAGCTCAGAGAGAAAAAAGGGACTTGCACAGGGTCTCACAAACGAGTAAGATGCTGAGGTGGGATCTGAACCAAGTGTTCGAGGTTCAAAGCCTATCACACTATCCAAGAGACAGGGAGAAATAAAGAGGTACGAGAGCTTATCTTCTAAAAGACTTTGTACTTTCAGATGGCGAGTGCCTCATGTAAACATTTTTATGAAAAATTATAAATAACACATTAAATCTGAATGGTCATATCTTGCATCTGTGAATGTTTTCAATGAATGAAAACAATTAGTTTAATGGACAGTCATTGTTTTCCTTCTGGTAGAGAGAGTTCCCCCTAAATAAGAGCCAAAAAAAACAGGTCACTGGTTAGCTACACAGGAATAATTAAAACAGTGGAAGCACAAAAACATTAGAATTACTTTGATTTAATTATTTTTACAGGTTTTATTTTTGTGTAGCGTTCACTCCAATGAAAAGGGCACATATTCTTTTAAGAGCAGCAATCCCAATCAATGTCACATGACTTCTAACAAAACAAACAGGTGGTTCAAGTCTTTTGCAACTACATTTGTTAACCAGGTACGTTTTTAAAATTTTATTTTTTCAATGAATAAACATTTATTGTTTTATCCTCCTCCCAATTTCTCTCCTCCTCGAAGGGAAAAAGACAAACAAAGCCCTAGTAACAAATATGCATAGTCAAACAAAACCAATTGCAACAAAGTACATATTTTAAAAATCACGGGGCTTTTGCATATTTTTGATGAGGATTTACTTCACAAAAATTAGCCAGATACCGCTCTTCTCCCCAGCAAACCACCAGGATGCTGGCTACCATAAATGTTCCCAGGTAGGCCCCTGTCCCTGTGCAGTTCTGGCCATTCCCAATGATTCTTCACATGGCAACAAAGGAGCACAGATCAGACGCATGTTAATTCATGTCAAGTACGATAAGCCAACGCTTTAAAATGAATTTGCTTTTATAGTTTTAAGGAGATGACCTGGATGTTATTTGATTTCCTCAAGAAAATAAAGGAATGCAACAAACTATGCAAGACTGAATCGACAACACTGAAATCCCAATCACACGCAGCCCACTGAGAACAGCATCAAACAATCCCATTTTGAATAGTGCTCTCTAGTGCAGGCAGCTAAAAATTAAGCCAAGCTCACAACGAGGCCAGCAGGTTTCACACACACCTGTGACGGAAAGGAACCTTTAGTCCCAGCAACTGAAAACTGGTGCCACAGCTAAAGTGATTACCAAGTACAAGCACTCCCTCTGGTGGATAATGAAGAAAACTCAGTCATTAAATTAAAGAAATATATAGGATGGATGGGGGAGGCTGGTGACACAATAAAACCGATTAAGTATTTTTTTAATCACTACATTTGTTGAGATCCTAATATTATTGTAGAAAAGGCCCTTCCCCCTTTTTAAAGATATTTTCAAATCACATGATATTTAACCAATGCTTACATAAAGCTGGAAAAGGTGAGATGATATCCACTAGCTTACTTTTCTCAGTTGCCTAGATTAAATCTTTAATTTAATTAAAACATTCAGCATTCTTATATCTACTACGTTAAAAGCACCATTTTTAACAGAAAAAATCAGTATTTTGTCTTTTAAAATAATTTCAAGTAGAAGCTCTCCAGTAGGCTCTTTAGTTGGCCACAGTTTTTAAGATTATTTGAATATTATTCATTCAACATGAAGATTATTCATTCAATAATTTTTAAGATTATTCATTCAACAAGAAGGCAACTAAGATAGTGGCAGGACTGGAGAACATGCTAGGCTGAAGGTGATGAGAAAGAGCTCTAAAGAATTGGGGGAGGAAAGAAGGCTATGCAAGATATCCGTCAAAGGGAAGGATCAAACTTATTCTGTCTGGTTCTAGAGGGAAGAGAAGTGATAGGTGGAAGGTACAGAGAGTCATAGGCTGATAATTTACTGATAGCTCAGTAAAACAATAAAATGGAATGCCTCCAGAATGAAGTGGGATTTCTCTCACTGGAAGCATTTGGAGTCAGTTGATAACAAGCATTTATTAAGTACCTACTATGTTCCAGGCACTTCATTAAGCAATGGTTGGATGTTATATCATAAAAATTCTTGGTCAGGTATGGGTAAGATTACATGCTCAATGAAGTTCCTTTCAAATGAGATTCTCTTCTATATAAATCAATACATAGCAATATATAGATAGCTCTTTAAAATACTATGTAAATATTTTTTCTTTCTTTCTATTAGTTCTTCTTTTTCCATGGTGGGAGGCAAGAAGAAAAGGCTTTTTTGCATTGTGTTAAATGGAGGGACACTCTCCCAGCACCCAAAAATGAAATCCCTAGTGGTTTTTTCTTTTTTTGGAAAACAGCCTCTCTTTTTGTTTTCTTAAAGTTTGCTAGGTCAAGCTCAACATTCCTGGAGAAGATGCACGGAACTGAATACAAAGCACACTGGGACAAAAGCCAGGATTTTTCCAAGGGCAATTTTAACAACTAAGTTTTCCCTAATCCTTATTCTCTACTTATGGAGTTTATTCTAAAAACTCTTCTGCAGCATCTAAAATTCCATAAAATTCCAATTCATAGATGAGTAGTAAGTAGTAGTTTTAAGTGGCCATCACTCCTAAGGTTTAATTAAAAAAACCAGGACTGTTAGTATATTTAGCACCCAGGGAAGGAAGCGCAGGACACAAGTTGTGAGGTATGTTCATCTACTGCCTAACAGAAAATCAACTCAGTAAACAAAAGTATAGCTGGCTTTAAAAACTAATCCAACAAGATAAAGCAGAAGGTGGGGTGGGGGTGGGGAGGACAAGTTATTCGTAGTAATTATAGCTCTTTAAATAGCACTACTTTTTAATCTCTTTTATGGAATATTAAAAAAAAATGACTTGTCATATACACTTATTTAAGCATACATCCCTGTAGTAATTAAACCAAGACTGCTATGAGGTTTCACAGTTCTATGTGCTTTATGCTGTATGAGAAATATGTATGATGCAGAAATCCACATCTGGAGTGTGAAAGCTTCTCTTTCCTTAGGAAAGCCTCTTTGGTCTAATTACTTCCATGGAGACTGCTTTGGGGGCACCGCCCTTTCCTTCTCGCACTCTAGCCTATCATATAACGGACTCTCTGACTGACGTAGACTAGACTCAAAAGCTGCTATCTACCCAAGTAATCCATGAAAAATTAAGCTGCCTATCTGAGAAAAGATGGAGTAGTGGCAGTTCATGGACTTCATGAAGGCTATTTTATTATGACGAGGGAAGAGTTTCTGATCAAAGGATAGCTAGGTAGGATCACAAAAGATAAAATGGACGATTCTGATAGCCTAAAATAAAAATTACTTTGCACAAAGGCGATGTGACTAAAATTAGAAAGGAAGCACATAACTGGAGGAAAAAATCTTCGCAACAAATTTCTCTTATAATAGTCTCATATCCAAGATGATACAGGGAACTGATCCAAATTTATAACAATAAAAACCATTCCCCAACTGAGAAATACAAATTTATCCACCTCAAATTCATCGGATTAACAAAACAAAACTGACAAAAAAAGGCAAATGACCTCTTGAAAGGGCTGTGGAAAAACAGGGCCATTAACATCCTGTGAATCAGACTAAGCACTCTGGTGAATCAGAACCATGCCTGCCCAGATCGCTGCTTACCTGCGTAGGCTTGGGCCCAGTCATGCCACTAACAGGCGTCCACTGCCAAAAGAGATCCAAGAAAGAGGAAAAGGACTCACATGCACAAAAATATTTACAGCAAATCTTTTTATAGTAGCAAAGAACTAGAAACTAAGAGGATGCCCATCTGTTGGGGAATGGTCAAACTACAGCACATGAAATGGAATGTAATACGTCATCGTAACAAACGACAAAACTGAAAGTTTCAGACAGACCTGGGAAGATCTATATGAACTGATGCAGAGTAAAGTGAAGAGAACCAGGAGAATAATTTATACATAGTAAAGACAAACAACTTTGAAAGATTTAATAACTTTGATCAATGCAATGGTCAGTGAAGATCCCAGAGGACCCATGATAAAGTATATTACCAACATCCTGACAGAGGACTCAGGGTGCAGATGGAAATAATATTTTTTTGTACATGGCCAATACATGAAGTTGTTTTATTTGATTATGCATATCTGTTAAAGGCGTTTTGTTTTTCTTTTCCAATGGAAGTGGCTGCAGAAAAATATATTTTTTATTAAAAAATAATAATAAAAAATCTCACATTATCTGCAAGGTAAAAAATTCACCTTATGAATAATTCATTTTTGATCAAATAAGAATGTACTGTGTAAACCATAAAGTGCTATATTAATGTATACTATTATGCTGTACCTGAAAGATTTTTGGAAGTCTAACCTGCATAAAACTGAATTATGATCTACAGAGGAGCATATTACTATTTTAAAAAGACAAAATTAGGAAGCTGACTCATTTCACAAAAAGATTCAACACAGGATTTTTTTAAATAGTAAATACTTTAGTATGTTTAAGATATCACCTGATTTAGCAAAAAAAAAAGACAATATAATTTTCCAGCCATGCATCTACTGAGTAAATTGGTGCCTGTCTACATATAGATAGATGATAATGAAGTAACAGGACTCTGTTAGTTGCATTAGAATAAAGCTTTCAAAAGTACCAAAATGAAGAGTAAAAAAATAGATTAATAAAACGACATTTGACATACCTTAGCAAGTTAATATCCATGCAAACATAAGCAATCACAGGACTTCACAATTGCAAAGTACCATTAAAAAATACAATCTGCAATTTTTAAAATTCCAGGATGTTTCATACCTTGGAATGCTTGGCCTTTGGAAGTCTGTTGAGAAGTTGAGATTGTCTTCCTGAGACTGATCCTTTCATTAAAAAAAAATTGTAAAAATAAAGTTGAGGTAGTTCATTTTCAAGTATGGTACTATGTTAATTAGAAACAAATTATAAAACTATAAACATATGGATAAATCATTCGCAAAATATTTAATTCGCAACTGTCCAACTGCAATTATTTTAAGCTGATAATCCCTTAATTTTTTAAAAAAGATCTCAATTAAAAGCAAAAGTAAAGTTGAAGTTTTCATAATTTAAATTTTATTAAAATACTTTTGTGGAAGTGCCCATTTACACTTTTAGATACTGCCAACAGGAATCGAGAAACCACAACTACGGATTTATGGCATCCCAAATTCTTAGCTGCTGCTGGATGAAGGCAAAGGCTTCAGGAAAATGATGTCTGAAAATGGAATTCGGTTTATGTGGACCAGATGCTAAAATCGAAGAATGAGTGAATGACTTGGCCCAGACTGGAATGTACCTACAAGCAGCACGCTCCAAAACAGTAATTTATTTGCCTAAAATCTTACAAATCTAAATCCAAGTGCTTTAAACTGAAACAGAAGGGGGAGGCCTACATCTACTCAGTCATCCAGCCTGACACTACAGAGAGTAGCTATGATGAACAGCATGGAGCCAGAAAAAATTCCAGGAAAAGAACATTAAGTCCGTTGCCTCACACTGGGGCATACAAGGGCACAAAACAGAAGGAGCCAAGCACAGTGAAAGACAAGCAAACCTTAAGGCACAGATATCACCTGAGACTTTTTATGATGAGACCCCTAACTAGAATGGTACAACAGGCATAGAGGGGGAGGAAAGTAAGAGAAGGTGGGCAGAACACTAGAATGTACTTCCAAATGTGTTCACAAGTCAGAAAGAACAGAGGGGGAAGCTTAATGGAGAACATCTGGGTGATGGTATCCAGGGAAGGAAACTGATGTGATGTGGTCACTGGATCATGCTATGGGTGACATCAGACACTGAAGATCTGAATATTGCCAAAGATACACATCACAGAGGGAATGCTTGGTCAGGTATGGGATGTATTAAACGGGCTGGACAGGAAGAGCCTGGCACTGAGGCTGATGTAACAGTGATAGAAGGACTGAATTTTCCAAACAGCTGAGGGAGCTTTTTCTCTGCCAAAAACAAAGTGGCTAATAATATCCTGAGTTGCCTTAAAGATAATTTCATCCAGCAAGACAGAGGAACCAATAAGGGGAAAGTCTATTATGGCTCTAATTCTCACCGATAAGGAAGAACTGGTTGCTGAAATAGAAATAAGAAGTTTGTGGGCATGTGAAATTGTGAGAGAAAAGCAAAGATAGACACAATCTGGTAAGTAACCTAGATCTGGTCACAGAAGATTTCAAAGGGTTCAGAAGCAGGAAAGGGAGGATTGCACAAATGTCCAGTGTCCACTATCCTCTCTGCTCACACAGAGCAACCACATTAGTTTAGTTGCTTATTACTCTCTATTAGGCTCCCAGCCTTCTCCACTCCAATCTGTCTTCCAGAGAGCTGACAAAGGTGATTTTCCTTAACCACTGGTCTATGTCAATACATCTAGGACAAACCATCAACTCCTCTGGCATTTAAATATTTCACCCACCTCCCAGTGTCTATTTTTGGTCTCATTATACATTACTCCCTTTCCTATAAGCCACAGTTCAGCCCAACTGGCCTTTTTACTGTCCCTCACAAAAGATACTCCGTCTTTTATCTCCATCCTCACTTCTGCCTCTCAGAAGTCCCAGTTTCCTCAAAAGCTCAGTGCAAGGGTCATCTTCTATATAAGACCTTTCCTGAGCCCTGTTAGTACTTCCCTTCTCTCCCCCCCAAAAAAATTACCCTATAAAGCCTGTATATTTACATGCAGTTTTCCCCTATAGAATATAAGTTCCTTGAGGGCAGGGATTGTTTTATTCTTGTCTTTGTATCTGGAGCACCTAAAAGAATGCTTGGCAACCTTAATACTCATTGACTGATTAAATTTCTGAGAGAAAATTGGCCCAGGAAGGAAAATGAAATCCTAGACATACTTGCCACCCCCCCCACCCCCAAAAAGAACTCCAATGCAGAGGAAAAGGGAAAATCTAAAAAGACTAATGTGGATGTACAATGTTTCTTTTTTTGACAGTTAACAGACCAGTAGATTACTCCAATGCTAGGTATATAGTTTATCTAGAGTTCAATACAGCGTCTCATAAAGTCCTTCAGTCTTTGGAGTAAGATGTAGAAATGTGGGGTAAACATAGTTTTAAACCTATGCTAAGACAACAGAAGCAAAGGCAGCTGAAAAGAAATGCGGTGTGGTCCTGCAAGAGTGTCATCAAAAGCAATAAAGCTCAGAACGAACTACCGCAGACCAAGAAAATAGAGTACAATAACAAAAGGTGTATCTACTCTTTTGTTTTTTTAAATTAAGTGGCAAGAAGATGCAGAACCAAAGGCTTCGCCGTTGCTTGCTGTGATGGCACAATAATGGACAAAAGAAAACAAGACTACTCAATTCTCATCTTTCTGTCATCTCTGCTAAGGAGAACGACCTTTGGACCGGACAGAACCAAAATGCCTAACGATAAAGCTGGTGTCCAGAGTAAGTAAGGAGATGGGAAGAGAGGAGGCTAGTGGAGACTTGACATACGCGCTTGCCTCACCACTGTCAGTGTGGACTGTAGAGAACAGGAGGGACATCTCAGGATTACAGGATAAATGTCTCGGTTTAAAGAAGGCAAGGGAATGGAGTCTACAAGGGAGTGAGTCTGTTTGACTTAGATTTCTAGCAAAATTCTAGGATGTACCTTTAAAGGAACAGGTAGTAAACTTTTGGAAAGGGAAGTCATGATCTACAGAGCCACAAGGCCTTTATGAAAACCAGGTCATACCGGACTAACCGGACGTCTTTTTTGACAGTTCATAGACTGGTAGATGAGGGCAATGCTGGACTTACATTTCATCTAGATTTCCACAAAGCATTTGACAAAATCTCTTAAAACTGTGGGCAACATGCAGAGATATGGTCTAGACAAAGGCCCAGTTCAAGGGCATTTGAACCTGGTGAAATGGCAGAAATGGAAAGGTAGTCAGGCATAGTCTTGAGTCCATGAGAAAACTGGCTGATAGCAGAGGGGCTCTGGATCTGGCCACGGCTCTGGACGTGGGCACGGCCCTGACTTTTAACATGTTTGTTAATGATTTGGATAAAGGCATCGGTGATGTTTATCAAATTTGCAGACAATACAAACTTAGGAAGGGATGGCCAGACACTGATGATGATCAGAATCAAAAAGAACCCAACAAGTCCCAGAAAACTGGGCCATTATCTAATAAGGATGAAATTCAATAGGAATAAACCAACGATCATAGAAACAGAGTTTGAGAAACATTTGGAAGCTGCCTAATCCAACCCCCTCATTTTACAGATGAGGAAACTGAGGATCAGAAAGGTGATATGACCTGGTCAGTTACCCAAAAAATGAATGTTAATGGTGGGATATAAACACAGGCTTGCTTGACTCCAAGGCCAGCACTCCACTGTTCAAAAATGAACTTCACCAGTTTAAGATGGGGAAGATATGGCTAGATAGTTCTTCTGAAAAAAATTATGCTGGTTTTAGAGGATTGCCAGTCTAATGAATCAACAATATGAAATGAAACCCAAGGAAGTGAATACTCTGTTAAGGGCTGTATTAAGAGAAGCACAGTACTTGAGGCTAAGAGAATGGTCTGCCCTGGGCCAAGCATCATTTTCACTTCTGGGCAGCATATTTTATGAAGGACATTAATTAGCTGCAGAGTGTACAGAGGAAAGTAACCAGGATAGTGAAGGGAACCAAGATAATGTGAGGATAAATGAAAAGAGCTGCGGTTATTTAGTCTAGAAATTCAGAGGGGATACAATAGTTGTCTTCATGTATTTCAAAGAGGGATTAACTTGGAGTAGTAGGTATAAGTTGCAGAGGCAAATTGAGTCTTACAAAAGATTGATCCAAAAAATATTTATCATGTTGCTTAAAATAAATAACAGACATGAAATAAGAGAGAAAATGCAGAATTTCAAGACCTTTTTTTTGTAGGATTGGGGGAGGTGGTGTTTCACTGTGAAGAGGACATGGGTCTTTGAGGAACGAGGTATGTCTGTGATTTCTGGCTCCTACACTTATTTACCTGGTAGATGACCCAGAGAAAACTCCAAATTTCCTGAGTCTCATTTTCACAACCTTTTTCCTACTACTTGTAGGATCCTATAACTCACAGGAGTATTGTGAGGAAAGGACTTTGTATACATTAAAGTACTATAGAAATTATTTTGAAACTATTTCTATTCTGAAACTATTAATTACTTCCGCACACAATCTTGACATATAAGTAGCAATAAAGGCTGAAATGTTTTGTACATCCTATAGTGTGAGAAACAAACATTGCCAAATCAAAGCCACTCAAAGAAATAACAGCACAAAATTCAGTAGTTTCATAATCAAAATTTAAAAGAAAATGATCATTAAATTCAACTCGAGGTAATTTTATTCCCTTTGGTGCCATCTAGTGGGCTGCAGAAAATCAGTAGCACATAAATTTAGGGACTAAAATTATTCAAACATGCACAACATGTTTTGGGGGAGAGTCATTTTAAAATGAAATAGCAAAAATGTGCAGAAATAAAACAAATAAGAACTATCAGGTCATTTTGTTAACTGTGAAGTTACTAATATTTTCTGAAGTTTGTTTTAAGGAACCTAGCTTCAAGATCTCAAAATTTTCTTTAACGGTATCTTATATTTGAGTATCTTGGGACTTTACTATGTACAGTATCTTATTTGGAAACAAAAAGAGGTAAGATTTCCAAATGGGACTCAAACCCAGGCCTCTATTTCTACTGTGTAGGCAGACTCTCAAACTAGATCTTTCCATTTCATGAACATTGGATCTTTGCCAACTTTATGTAAAGCACTGTGTAAGGTACTTAGGGAGCTAGAAGGTTAAGATAAGACATGATCCCTACCCTCATGAAGCTTACAGTTGAGTAGGGAGAAATGACAAATTAACAAATGACCCAAACAGAAGTGGAGTAACGTTGGTTGTCCGTCATTTTCAAAGAAGACCAATGACATCACAAGGAGTTGTCTTTTTATTTGAATGTGAATTGGATTCAAGTGGGGCAGAGTTGCACAAAATCATCAGCCTCACCCTCTTGGACAGTCTTCAAAGTCCAGTGGCAAAACAAAAGTCAGGACTCTTTGGTGTCTGCCCAAGCTCTATGCGCTCCACAGAGCCTTGCTTCTGCCACCTTCATGGACACTGGAACAAATTGTTCTCACCCACCCATTCGGGTAGGGGAAGTCTTCACAGGCTCAGGATAGACATCCTGCTAACTCACCAACAGGTGAGACCTGTCAGTTACCCTCAACCTGGTTTAACCTGTCTGCCAAGACAATTTACCAGGGTGTGGCCACTGCATAAGCTACAGCTTCTTGGAACCACCGGTGAGTGTGAAGTGCCAGGTGGACACCAAAGGTGATGAGCAGCCCTGAAAAGGGCTGAGTCGTTGGAGGAAAGTATTTAGTAATTGCTCCAGCAGGACCTTTAGTCATATGGGAAGCAGAGGAGCGTTGACGCTAATACTGAAATTCTCTAACTTTAAGGTTTACAAAAGGAATTACTTGGCCCAAGAAGGTTAATTAAAGAGTAGCCCATTAGCCAGTAGTCATTTTTTTTTAAAGCTATAGGCATCGATGGTAAAGGTAAACAGAAATCATAAGAGTAACTCTATATTAGTACTGACATTCCAACTTCAACTATCTGAGCTGCTCAAAGCACAATTAGGATCAAAGGACTGAGAAGGTGGAAGGGCCATTAGAAATCATAGAATCTAATCCAGGGGTAGGGAACCTGCTGCCTTGAGGACACAAGTGGCCTTCTAGGTTCTTGGATGGGGTCTTTGGACCGAGTCCAAAGTTTTACAGTACAAATCCCTTTTATTAAGTGGATTTATTCTGTGAAGTCTGAATTAGATTAGACTCTAATCTCTTCATTATGAAACCGAGGCCTTCGGAGAGGTATTGTGAGTTGCTCTGGGTCACATCTGATTCCCCAAAGGTAAAGTATTCTCACATGGTGGATAGTCTTGTGCCTTGGTAATGGGCATTCAACAAATCCTTGACAATTGTGACAACTGGTAGCAGCAGCTAGGTCCTCACAGAAATCACTAACTGGGATAGCCAAAGAGTTTCTGCCACACAAATTAATCTACCCCTGACCTAGTCATTCAGATTCAATACAATTAAAGTATTTATTTAGCATACACTACGTACTCAACAAGATCTGTAAATACTTTGCCAACATCGGATAAAACTCAGACCCTAATGCTTTGATGACTTGGTTTATTCAAACATATTTTCTCTCCCAATGATGCATTCCTGAAACTAAGTAATGTAAAAAAAAAATGTTTTTAAACAAACTGGATTATCTAGCCCTTTCTTTTCTTTTCTCCTAACAAACTGTCCGTAACAGTTACTTAAGTACTAAAATGCTCACTTAATGTGTTCTGGATGACTAAGGATACCAGAAACTGGCCTCTAAATATGTTAAGATGCTACTTTAATAGTTCTGAGAGTTCAAACCAAAGAGTAAGTCAATTTTGTTCAGCCCAGACCAGAATCTCTACCTGCCTGCCTCCTGCCGACCCCCACTCTTCATCTAGCCTAAGGGGTCTTAATGTTTTTTTGGTCTTCTGGGTCTCTTTGGCAGTCTAGTGAAGCCTATGGAACCATTCTTAGAAGAATGTTAAAAGAATAATATACATAAGATTACAAGGAAAACCATATTGAAATATAGTTTAAAAGTATTAAAGTATTGAAAACAAAAACAAATTCATAGACCCTAGGTTAAGATTTCATCTAGATACACAAATACCTAAAAAATTTGAGACAAACTCTTGAAATATTTCCTCTTATATAAAGGAAATACAGACTGTGGAAAACTGTGGATTTCACAAATCATCACAATGAAGTTCTAAGTTCAAAAGAGCCTTTCTATGTCACCCTGTCCATCCTATTCAAATAAAAATCACTTCTATAGCATTTCAGACAGGTAGTCATCTCATATCCCATGAGTGAGACCTGTTTCCTCCTGAGAGATCTCAAGCCACAGCTCCAAGATTTGGGAATATCTTCTATAAACTGAACTAACTCTGCCACTGCCCCTGGTTCTGCTCTCTGGGGCCAAGTAATATAAAATGAATCTTTCTCCCAAATGACAGTCCTTTAATTCTTGAAAACAGTTATCTTGTCTCCTCATTTACATCTTTTCTTCTCCAAGCTGACCACTCGCCAGCTTTCTTCACCTAACTGAAGAAAACTGATGCAATTCAAGGTTTAAATTAGTAAGTTACTCAACAAAATAACAAAATCCAAAGGTCACAGCAAACCCAAAATACATGCCGAAATAGTATTTACAAGACACGGTTATATGAGAAGATAATACATAGTTTTCATGACAGGAGATTATTCCTGTTGTTTCTACAGATGTATTTTAAGTGAACTCTGGGATTCAAGAAAAATGATGACTCCTGCATGGCGACAGAGGTCAAGGCTATTTAATTCTGAACTCGGTATACCTTGTGTTTCGACTTTTGCAGTTCTGTTCTTAGACTAGTACATTCCTTTCTCATCACTTCCAGCTCCTGTTCCAAACCATGGATTTTCAAGTCATTGCTCAACTTTTCTACCTCCCAGTTAGATGAAGGTCGATTTAGATTCCTCATCACTACAAAAAAGAAGCAGCAACAATTGAAGTCATCAGCAAACAGTGCCAACCTCGAAAACAGAACATGACCAGATGTACAGCTGGAAGGGACGGACATAGTTATCTCGGCTTAACTTCTTAATTTTACAGATAAAACTACAGCCCTGAGACACGAGGTGACTTCGATAAGGTCACAAAATGGGAAAACAGCAAGGCCAAGATTTAAGCCCCGGTGCTGTGGCTCCAAGTGCAATGTTCTTTCACTATGCCAGTAACTGGAAAACATGTATCAAAGATCTCATGGTACTGAAGAGCAGTATTATACCTGGTCCAAAAAGACAGGCAATCTAACAACTCTTTTGCTTTTATAATTTATTTTATGATTTTTCCCTTCAGCAGATATTCTTGATTATGTTCTAATTAGGGAATGGGAGCATGCCCTTGGGGCCAGAGTGGGATTAAACTATTTGCCATGGATAAACACAGGACTATAGTTTCAAGATAAAAGTTAACTTTTCATCCTGTTTAAAATTCTACACTATCAGCATGGTGAAAATCCATTAAAATTTTCCAATCAGCTTGTCTAGCCTGCTGTGTAAGGCTCGAGCACTGCCACTGTGCCTCTAGCGTTGAAGCCTAAAGGGAGCATGTGGAGGATGACCCACCCCCCCCCCCCCACCCTAGAGCAGAAGCACCCCTGGCGGTCTGAATCAAAGGCACAGACTTGCAGAGACTCTCACAGCCCTACTCCATCAATGGCAGGACCCGTTTCATCCCATGACTTTCTAGGTCCTCCCCAGGTTGATTTCAATGACTGGGCAGTGATTTATACCTTCTTTCCATTCTGTAATCAATCATTCTAGTCTGTGCTCCCCCTCTCCATACACACCAGAGGCCTTCTTCCATTCTGTAGGGAACAGGGTGGTGCCTGGCCATCTGGTTTTCCTAGCTCTCATTGTCCTAGCAAGATGAGAGGTCTCTTCTCTCTCTCTCTCACACAATCACATATCATACACACACTCATACAAACACACACATACATACAGCTATTATTTCTCGGAGGAAAGAACAGCACAATTTGTGTTAAATATTAGTACTATACAAAAATTAAATGGGGATACAATGAATATGTCAACTAACATAAGCTTTATGTAAAATCTAAGGAAAAAGAAAAATTAAGCAAAAATATCCTCCACTGTGCCTGGATCTGACAATGTAATCCACAATATCCTAGATTCAAAACAGAAAGGTCCTCAGAGACCACATACCCCAGCCCCAGCCTCTCACCTTACAGATGAAGGAACTGAGGCCCTCCAAGGGCAGATGGCTCACTTGAGGCCAACCAGGGCACAAGGATCCAAACTGTCTTCACTGGCCCCTCGGACTGGCCTTTTCCAAGAACAGTTAAAGATGCTGTCCGTGCCTAAGAGCCGCACCACCAGGTGTTGTGCTGCTGCTTCTTACCTTGCTGAGTCTCGACCTCGGTCCGGAGCTGGAGGAGCTCGACTTCTTTAGTCTGTAGCTGTTCATTTAATGCTTTTAAAGATTCAGAATTATCTTTATTCTAAGGAAAAAAGACAAGACTATATGTATAAAAACCATACGCTGGCAATCTCTTTTAGTTTCCAAAAAGGTATTAGAAAAACAAAGGTGGGGCAGCTAGGTGGCACAGTAGATAGAGCACCGGCCCTGAAGTCAGGAGTACCTGAGTTCAAATCTGGCCTCAGACACATAACACTTACTAGCTGTGTGACCCTGGGCAAGTCACTTAACCCCATTGCCTAGCCAAAAAAAAAAAAGAAAAAAAAAGTTGTACTTTAGTGTTTCAATAAGTAGGCAGGCCAAGAAGTTTGAGTTTGGCTGTCAAATTTACATTTTTTTTCTTTCCTTATTTAGGATATTCTCTATTCACTGGATTTTCTTATTGATAGTACCAAATACCTGATGTCCTCATTGAATTTTAGAAGTTTATCTTTCATTCCAATGTCATTTCTTTTAAAAAAAATTAAAAAATTAATGCCAGACATATTTTAAAACTAAAGCTCCTCACTTATTCAGTCTTAATTTCTTCAGGAAATTACATTATTATTATTTATACTATTTTTTGGTTACACTATAACCTACAATATTCTCAAAACCTATTAATCTATTTTTAGTATCTGTTTTTATAATAGAAAAAACCTGAAAGAAAATTTAACATGTTTTAAGAATCTTTTTAAAAACTCAGATTGGCAGAGGTGAGAATAGTCATTTGCATTCAACTAATCTCACTCCATTTCTCAAAAGGACTTACCATTTTATCCAATTTGCTTTTCAAATTATCTCTGTCTAGGCAGACCTCCCGATAAGCATGATAGGCCTTGTTTACTTGTTCTCGTCCTACAGAGCTTGTTTCTTCATCTAATCGGTTTTCAAGAAGCTAAATACAGAAGAATAGGGGGAAAAACTCAAGAATTTATACTACTTACTGGGGTTTTAATTTTTCTAAAGCTCTGATTACTTCAAAATTTGCAGTTTAGGGGAAAAAATGTCAAAGGATAATTGGATTAAAGTTCCACGTTTAACTAAGTCAATCCATGCTAAGAGAATTTTAAAAGAACAAAATACAAAAAGAAAGTGTCAACCTCTTGCTTGGAAGAATATCTCCACAATAAAATTCTCTTTGAATGGTAACTCCTTAAATTAAAGCTGCAATCAAGAAGAGACATTTGAAGAATTCAATTCAGCAAATATTAATTTAATTTGATGAGAGAATAGACCGACTAATTTTTTTTGGCTTGCTTTAACTTATTCAGGCCATTAACATGTGAGTTGGGGGAAAATGCCATGTAAAGGAATACTTAACTCTAGAGAATACATATTATGAAAGTTGGCTATTAAAGCACATTTCTACATACTAAACCAGATTTTCCCACTAACCTATTATAAATTGAAACTATGTTGCCTTTGAAAAGTTGAATCCTAAAGGTGTTTTCACATAAATTCAAGCTTTAAAAATCAACTTTCCAAAGAAATATGCTAATTTTCTATAAATTCATAATTCTAAAAACCAGTCCTCAGATGTAAATGCTAGTAGGACTTTGTTATTTTTTTTTAATTGGCACAGTTACTTAGGCTTAAGTAATCAAACTAGATTTTTTTAAAATCACTTAATTTCTAGCAAGGCCCTTCCAAGATTTTACAGGAAGATAACAGAGCTCTGATTGATTGAACAATATATTCTAACACTTTGTGGAAGATGTTGACTTTTGGAAATGGAAATGGCAAGATTAAAAACTCAGAAAGAGGCAGATTCAAAACATTACAGTAAATTAATATTGAGAAGCATATATCCTAAAAACCAAAGCCCAGTGGGCCTCAAAATTCTTCCACATACACCTTAATATATATTGAATCAGTTTCATCATTTATAAATACAGAAATGGCAAGCTTTTATTAAATATTTTACAACATATACACTCATACATATAGACCATAAAGTTGTCATTGATATATATTCCCCAAAAGGGAACCACAATAACAAAACCTTGAGACCAAACTCTAGGAAAAATTAAGAATGCGCCCATCAGATGAGGTCCATGCCTAAATTCTCAGTGGCTCCTGCCTCCTACGTAAACACATTGGTGGGCTTTCCTTCAATTGTACCTAATCTGCCTTTGTAACAGATAAAAATCCATGTTCTCTATTAGCATTTTATATTACAAAACAAAGGTTTTACACCTAAGGAAACTGCTGCAACAGAAGAACCAAGAATATAATGCGTGAGGTTTACACTTGAGAGGAAGGAAGGAAGACACAGACATGGGCCACATGAGATGTGCGCGGTAACACTGACGTGAATATCTACATAAAGACAAGATCGCAGACCCATTTCAGTACGAATACCTATTTAAAATGTATTCCACTAAAAATGCTTCAAGATTCTATAATATGCAGTGAGTGTCACCTCATAAGCAGCACCCAGCGCATGGTAAGGCAGCCTCGGTTGAGAAGACTTGGCTTTGAGTACTGCTTCTGATAAGCAAACAGATTCTTAGGACCCCGAAAGTGGATGATGCCATCAATGCCCCAGGTAATGCTCTAAGTCTCAGAGTTACAGAAGAAGAGTTGATTTGCAGATAAATGCAGATAAATTCCACTCCCAGAATTACCCACACCAAAGAAATCCCAGCTTCTAGCCTAAAAAAAAAAAGGCAAGAAATAGAAGCCAGCCCTCCAAAGAAACTTTCATAGCAGCCAAATGGAAGAGGCTTCACTCTTCATGACTCTAAGTCAGAGAAGAGTCACTGCCCTCCCTAGGCAGGTAAAGGGCATTTCCTCACCAGGAATTACTTACCCCAATAAGATCTGAACTTCCGACCACTTCCAGTCAGGTCAATGAAAGAGGGTAGATAGACTATTATTTTTTAGTAATTCAAGTATTTTAAAGTTTCACATAATAAGTATGACACTAAAACAGGGCAAGCAAAATACCTTTTCTTCCAGAAATCGTATTCTTTTCTTTAAGAGGGAATTCTCCTTCTCTGAATCCTTAAGTCTCTTTTTGATGTCCTCATATGCTGTGACAAGGGCAAAGTGGGAAGCCATAGACTCATCTCCTGCATAGATTGACATAGGAGTGATGGTATCTCTCCTCTGAGTCTTTTCATGGTTCAGAATACAGATGTCATCTTCCACTAGTGCATCCATGATAGCTCTTTAAAAGAAAAAAAAAGAAATACATATGGTATGTGTATATATCTGTGTGTATGTATGCATGTGTGTGTGTGTGTGTGTGTGTGTGTGTGTGTAAAAAAGCTTCACCACAAGAAAAACCAACCTTGCATGAGGTAAATAGCTGAGGCCCTATTTTAGTCACAATTCTTAAATTTTGCAAACAAAGTGTTATCAACTCAGTGAAATTCAATTTTCCTTATTGTGATAAAACCAAGACAAAATGAGTCCATATTTTAACCTTTCACATTACTGCCATTTTTGAGGATCAGGAAACTAAGTCTCTAAATTTATAAATCTGAAGACCTGTTTTTAATTCAACTTAAGTTACCATGATAGAGGCTTTTATGTGGCTCCGTAGCACATAAGGTCTTAAAGATGTTACACCCATACTCCAGCATAACTCATGCTAGCAATGTCCTTAAAGTTCCCTACTCCACCATCACAACAAGACAGAATTGCTCTTAAGCCATGGGATTTTCACAAGTTAGTTACTTCAACTTTAGGGGCCTCAGTTTCCTCATCTGTTAAATGAGAGCTGAACTTGAGGACCTTCAAGATCTGTTATGAATCTAAATCAATCACAGTAGTGCAGGCTGATGGTCACAAGTAGTTTGGCACAGGGGACAATGGGATCGTACTTTTGTGTGTTTGCTAAGTGTCTTAAATGTTCAGAAATCAGTCAAAGTTGGTGAACATTCTTGTGGAACAAATAATCTTTTTTTTTTTTTTTTTTTTAACGAGGCAATTGGGGTTAAGTGACTTGCCCAGGGTCATACAGCTAATAAAGTGTCTGGTCTGAGACCAGATTTGAACTCAGGTCCTTCTGACTCCAGGGCTGGTGCTCTATTCACTGTACCACCTAGCTGCCCCTTGGAACAAATAATCGTGACAAAATCTCGAGGAAGCACTTGCATATGTAACCATGACACACAAGCATAAAAATGATTCACTAGCCTTCTCCCTTTCCTGCTCTTCCTAATACATAAAACCAAAGGGGATCACTCTTTACTTTTCTCCCTCCTTCTGCTGAATGACTTGACTTTTGGCTACTCTGGTTATTAGCACCTAAAAGAAACAACAAGGACCGCACACCAAATCCAGTTTCTTACTTAGCTACTGACAATTCAATTCAACAAATATTCACTGCGCCCATCCTCCATAGCAATACCTTCCATTCCCTTGGGCTGCCCACCACACTGTTCCAATCTACAGTGTACACAGCTGCCAAAATACTCTTCCTTAAGCACACCCACACTGTCTCTGAAGTTCTCAGAAGCTTAAGAGGTTCCCAACCTCCTTGAGGACAAGAAAACATTTGGGCTTGGCCTGCACTGAAGAATCTTCGCTGTGGCTCTGGCTTACCTTTCCAGACTTATTTCCTATGACTTTCCTTCTCACTCTGTGGTCCAGCTGCATAGCAAAGCGCTCTGGAGATAGCATGCATGGTTGCCTGTTTCCTGTGCCTTTATACAGACCATCCTGAATGCCCTGAATGCACCCCTTCCTCCCCACTTGCCTCTTGGCATCCTTAGGGTCTGTTTCTTCATGTCTAAAATGAAAAGGCTGAGTCAGATGACCTCTAAAGTTCATTCTAAATCTATGATCCTAGAATGAGAAAAGGATTCAAGGATGAACTATTTTCTATGCTAGGCTGGGATGGGATTTTGACATGGATGTGTAAGGGCATTTATTACTTTAGCATGGTATAGCAGAAAGAATACTGAACCTGGAGTCAAAACTGCTAGATACTAGAATCTCAATTCTGCTACTTCTTAATAGCATGACTATGGACAAGTCATTTACCTCTTCCGAGCTTCACTTTCCTCACATGTGGGGCAGCTAAAGTGAAGCTAGTGACTCCACACCAGCCCTCTCTCACTTACATCCAATTCACTTGCATGTCAAGGCATCACCTCCCTGATGTTATGGTTCTCTGCAAGAATGCAGAATAACAGTGTCTGTGAGTAGTAAACAGGAGCTGCTCCACTGGGGGATCCAATTGGAACTGGCCAATTAGGCAACATGACCAGCCAACCTTCCTGGCTAGCTTCTTTCCTTCCCTTCCTTCCACCTCCTTTCTTTCTTTCCATTCCCTCAGTCCACATAGGATACCAAACCCTTACCAGTGTGCTCTGCCCAAAGGAATGTAAATTTTTATCCCAGAAACCTTTTTTTTTTACTCTACAGGACCCTGCCTAAGAGCCAAATCACTCAGGCTCTCAAAGATTGGCCAACAATGGGTCTCAGGCCAAGCCCCACTTGGTCAAGGTTTGGACCCAGATTGTCTCAGAGTTTAAGTTTGGCCAGAAAGCCTGAGGGTCTTTCCCTCCCAGACTGATTTTTTTTTAAAATTAGGTAAGTCTCAGCCTCATTTCAGACTTAGCCTTAATCACTGAATGCCTGTTTCCTCAGTCAAACTGAGACTCATTAAAAACCTTAGTTAAAAAGGCCAAGGTCTCCCAGGACCTCCAGGGCTATCTGCATTCCTCCTGATCTACATTTCACCACTAGACCCAGAAGGCTCTGGAGGAGAAAGTAAGGCTGGTGACTTTACACAGCCCTCTCTCACTTAAATCCAATTCACTTGCAAGCCGTGGCATCACCTTCCTGATGTCATCATCCTCTTAGAGAACAAAGGACAAACAATAACAGGTGGCACAGTAAACAGAGCAATGGGCCTGGAGTCAGGAAGATCTGAGTTCAAATCCATCCTCAGACACTTACTGGCTCTGTGACCCTGGGCAAGTCACTTAATCCTGTTTGCCTCAGTTTCCTTATCTGTAAAATGAGTTGGAGAAGGAAATGTCAAACCACACATCTTTGCCAAGAAAACCCTACAGCTAACATCCATGGGGTCACATCGAGTCAGGCATACCGAGCAACTTCCTCATACGTAAAATGATGATGATACTGGTCCAATCACACAGGGCTGTTCTAATTTAGAAACTCTGTTAAACTGCAAAGCTTCATATATAAACAGGAGCTATGATTCATGGAATTACTATTTTAATAACTGATACAGAGCTTTAAGATTTGTAAAGCACTTTATGTACATTATCTTGCTAAACAAGGAATTTGAAGAAAAAATAATATTACTAAAGGCAAAAAGACAGAGGATATATTAAAGGAATGACAAATAGTATACTTTGGCTGGAGGCTAGGATGTGTGCACAAGGAGACTGGTTAGATAGATTAGGCTCAGATTAAGGAGGGCCATGAATACCACGATAAGGAGTTTAGACTTTTTTTCTGCAGGCAATGGAGAGTCATTGCAGGATGCTGTAGGAAAGAGCATGAACTTGGAGTCAGGAGAACTCTGGGTAGAACTCCAGTAACACAACACCTTATGAACTGTGTGACCCCCACCAAGTCATTCACCCCTTTCAGGGTAGTGCCTTTCTCACAGGATTAGCAGGGTCAAATGAATTATATTGTATGCAAAATGTTTTGCAAAACTCAAAACACAATATAAATGTCAAGCTCTTTCTGAGCCATGGAGTGGACATCAGCACTAAGCATTAGGAAGATTAAAGTGGCAACAGTGAATAGGATGGATTAAAGGCTGGAGAGACCACAGGCAAGAAGATGAGTTGGGAGATAACTGGAACAGTTTGGAGGGAGAGGAAATGCAAGCTTAGACTGGCCAGTGGAATCAGAAAAGGAGGAAAAGAGAGATGAGATAAACACTGGGAGGCCTGATAATAAAATAGCTGTTGGTGGGGAGAGGAAAGAGTTGGAGGTTTTAAGGTTTCCAGACTGAGTGACAACAGAATAATGGTTCCAATGGGGCTGTTCTTGAATTCTCTTACCTGATCAAGGAAGCCCCTGAAGGTATAATCCCATTAACTGGCCTTTCCTTATTACCTACATCCAAAGGTATAATCCCATCAACTGGCCCCTACACCCAATCTCCCAATTCTCTATTACCCTTAATTTAGCCCAGCCCTCCATTGTCTATTACCTTCCAATGGCCACTGGCTACTTCCTACCCTTGACCCAATCTAGACCTCATTCTAGACCTCCCAAGTTACTCCCATCAAGATTCTTCCTAGATCCCTCCCACAGTCTTTCTGTATATAAGGTCCATGTTGTCTCCATTAAGGTGCTCATAATCTTAAGAGTGTAGCTAAAGGTTCAGATTCCTTAAGAGTCTGGCCAATATGGCAGATCTTTAATAAACCTTGTCTTTGGCTGTAAGAAGGCTTGGGTCGAATTCATTTGGGTAGGGCCCCTGTGTTGTGATTTTGGGGTCCTAGCACCCCTAAACCTCTAGACCTCAATAGTTCCTCGAAGAGAAACAGGAGCAGAGGTAATGTGCTGTTGGTGTGACTGGTGGAGAGAGGGAAGAAGTGGTGAACCCCTTTCTATAATTCCCCAGAAAAATTCCCTCCCCTTCTGTCTATAAGCTAAGGAGATGTTGTCTATGCCTTGGCTCCCTGGACAATGAATTCTCTTCCTTCTTAGTCTTCTCCAAGAATTCTCCCTCTAGGCATTAGCCTGTCTGTCCAGGGTTTGATAATCTAAGCTTGGAGATTTGGGGGCTATAAGTTTCTGTGAACCCCCTGACAATTATCTATTTCCCTCCTACCTCACGGCCTACAATGGAATCCAAGCTCTCTCTTCTATCAAGACGGTAAGTGGCTAATGATACACCCCACTAAGTCTACTCTTGTATATTGCAGAATTCCCCAACAAATTAGTGTCTGCCTGGCCAAACTGGTGGCAGCCCCTTAGTGGACCTCCGGTCAGGTCAGCATTCAGAGGAAGCTTCCATTCTCTTCTTTTGGTTACAAGGTAACCTGCATACTCTGGGGCTCCCCAACAAATAGCCCTTCTAATGGCCCTTTCCTCTGGCTCTGCCTCCTCTAAAGAGACACGATTCTGACAGGAAATTAAAGGGCAAGTTCTTTAACAAGGAAATTGTGGGTACACAGTAGTCATGAATCAACACAGATTTTTTAAAAGGCACGTACAAAGTAA